ATCAGCCGAACCTGGCGGCCTAAAAACTAACCTTTGTTTCGACCCGCAGCGATTTTTCACGATCTAGGCAGATATTACTGTGTTTCCGACATGTCGGTGGACTCTGCAATCTGAAAGAAAATATCTTCCGTACTCAGTGATGCCCACGTGCCCTCTACAATACCCCCCCCTACTGGATTCCCCCTCCAAGGGTGGTCCTTTTATCTCCTAAACCCCATAGCCTATCAGATCCTCTGCCCCGCAAGAGCGATAATTTTTCTCGCCTTAAAGACCACAAGGAGTTTTTTTATTGCGAATAGAAGCGAACATGCGTGCCCCAGGTTCTTGTTGCAAAGAAGACGAAGACGCGAGCTCTGGAACGATAGTTTTTATTCTGAGCTTTCCGCTCCACACGAGAAGCCATTGTCAGATTAAATGAGAACAGCAAACGTCAGCTCCACGTAAATGGGGTTGGTAGGGGAGGGGGGGTTGGTGGCAATTATTGATTGGTCCGTGTCCGCGCCAAGTCCTATCTCGCCCTATCTTATCGCGTTTCTGACGCCCGTCCCTGGAGTAACGGCGTGTGACCTTGAAGTGGTGCCTGCATGCTTGTAGAGGAACTGGGCCCTGGTTTCTGGTCACGGGCACGGATGGCAAAATAACAGGCTGGTATATCCACATGCCTGTTTATGGCGTTAGGATCTGACAACCAGGCCTCCAGCAGTTCGCGTCCCGTTCTATTACTGGCCCGTGCCATTATTCGTGCGTTTGAGAAGTCGAATTCTTGGCCTTCTCCCAGAGTGTGGGTAGCGATCTGGGACTGTGAGTTGCCTTTTCGCACTGCCTGTTTGTGCTCCGTTATTCGCGAGCTGAGTCGTCACCCGGTCTGCCCTGTATAATGGCAAGAACAGTCGCGACACTTTACGCATATATATCCCTGAGATAAACTGACACTGATGCATTATAAACCTCTCCCAAATAAAGGTGCACCTTGCTGTGAATAAAGGTTAATATTATAAACAGCAGCATGTGTTGCGAATTCTGGTTCAGTGGGTGGCGAAGCACATTGTGGGGTTCGGCTGCAGTAGGGGCACTTCGTTGTCATACCTAAGGTTCCTGGTGATAGTTTTGCTGAAGGTACCAGACGATGAAGCGAAATGAGAGCGATCAAGTCATTCAGTCGCAATCAATTGACTAGATGCATTACCGATTTTCTGGACTAGACCTATTTTAAGAGGTTCTTTAATTCCGGTATCTTGTTTGCAGAGCTCGCGGGTGCGGCAAGGTTATTGCTTAATCCCTGGTTTTGAAGAATATGAATCATAGCATTCTAATAATATCGCCTATGAGTTTACTGAAATAGACACGTCCAAGAAAGTTAAGCTTGCTCGTGTCCCTACTGAATGAAAACATACGGTAGGTGGTGAAAATAAGTGAACAGAGATCGCATTTCCAAAACCTTTTCTAGTTATAAAAATCCTCAGAAAGATGATAATGCTCGATTATCAAGCAAAATTGGCTCTGGGTATTCTAAGCAACGTAGGACACTGGCAGCATGTTGCATAATTCGCGACAAAACGTTTGCCTTAAAGCGTGATGTTAAGGCATTGCATCCAATGAATTAAGCATTTGAACTATTAAGCAATTTGCTTAACTTTATGTCAGCAAATTTTTGGATGTTCATGCTATATTATGCTTCACGTATATTGCAGGCCTTATTGGACGCCCGTGAAGTTCTGAGTAATTAAATATAGGCATATTGGATTGCAGTGCTTGCAAAATATCCAGCATATACTCCCAAATCATAGACGTTAACCGCAGCAACAGGTTTTTAGTGGAATAATGTCTAAATCTGTTCGCTGTTTTAATGATGACGGACTTAATTCTCCCAATAATATCTGAGGTTATTGCTATTTTTATTGGATAATTCTACTCCGATCGGTTTCAGGATGGACCCACCCTGGATCATTGTCATGTTTGCGAGCTAATTGGAACCCAATTGTATATGTTACTCCCTAACTTTTAGTAACAAAGGTATTTATCGGTAAATATCATTGTGGCTGCTATTGTCCGATGCCCCCTTCATACACCCCCCAACCAAACCTGACAACCGCACTATTTTTAAACAATCCCCCGCATTTTTTATTTGATTAATGACGATAAAAATGTACAGGCCTGAAGATAATTAAGCAAAATCTAACACGTACTAGTCAGTTCACCTTTTAAAAATCAGTTTGTTCATTTTTCGCTATTTTAACGCTAAATATAGCTGTGATTGATGCTAAGATCTAACTGTTACTAGACCCTTCACGTGGACATACCAATAATCCTGTTCAGGGACGAGGGAGTGGAAAGTATACGAGCACAGAAACAAGAAATGTTAGTTAGGTCAACACTTATCCTGTTTTGTGTGGTGTATTGCGAGGCCCGAAATTAAACTCCACGATAATAAACTAGGCTTTATAATCACCTGGATATAGCAATAAAAGGTTTAGTTGTTCAGGTAGGAAACAAAACGTTTCCTTTAGGAGGTGTAAAGGTTAAGTACTTGCTAAGTTAAGCAAACGACGCAGCTGCGAGCAATAAAGGACAAGTTTTGTAAACAGTAATCTCTCAAGCCAAGTAGGTCTAAGGTCTGCGCAACAAGTAAATTGCACATGCGTATTTAAGGTTGAAACATACCCTATCATGGCAGCCCATGCCCAGGGCCAGTGGAAGACAAACTTAGAGATAATCGTAACAAGCATTGCTTCGATGAGGCAGGGGATGACGGCCATTAGAACAACTTCTCTCGCGGCATGCCTAATAACCACAGTATCCAAACTAAGGCCAGCGCGTGTGAGGATTGTTGCCAAAGCAATTTTGCGCACCCTCGTGGAGATATCGTTGGCCACATTGGTCGCGCTGGCGATATAGAACGCAGGTAATGGAAGAGAATCCTTAGGTTTATCAAGAAACCGTGACACATGAAAAATGGGCCATTCCCCGTAAAAAGGGGTGTAGAAACGCAGAACGAGGCCACTGAGGAGCATACCTGTAGGGAAGAGTTGAGAAAAGATGCTGCATATATGCAATTTTGGGGTTAATGTTTGACATTTGAAACACATGGCTAGAAATTAATGAACAAGGGCTAACAGCATTTCGGCCGTCTTTATATGTGAACCGTGAGTGTCGGAAAGGAGTCTTTTTGGAGTGAATTCGTTTTCAGAAACATTGCTAGCACTTAAATTCCTGGGAAGGATGAAGCTGACAAGAGGAGGATGAATTTGATGAGAAACAAAAGCGAAGCAAGGACGAAGGTCGAACATAGCAAGGGTACGATAAGATGAAATTAGGAAGGAGACAGACGGCATCCCGGCGACCGACTCGTATTCTTGTCAGACGCAAATTTATTTGGGATTAATAGTATTAGTAGTAGTAACTGGTCCTCGGGATAATTAAAGCAGAATGAAAGGAAGACATGTATGCAAAGCTTTAAGCGAAGAAAACAGTACCATCAAAACGCACGTCTCTGAAATTTACTCTAGGGATTGTTCTTCTCACAATAACATCGGCCATTTTCATCGAACACATTTTAACTGCACAGAACAGCTGCGAGTGCTGCAAAAACGGTCGTGTTCTAACATTCCACTCTACAGCACCTTATAGGAGAACGATGGACCAATTCCGAGGTGATTTTCTTAACTGCAATATAATCAACTGCGTAGCGCTGATTATATGTTGTCGGTGTGGCGGAACTAGGCCGCGAATCTGTAAAACCACTAGAGGCCACGCCTTCATAAACGTTCCAGAGCGGATGCAGATCCCTTATCATCTTAGGAACATGGTTGATTTTTTTTCAAGGAGGATCACCACCACTAATACTAACCACTAAGATTCGAAATCGGTGAAACGAAGACCTACTTGTACGTCTAGGTTAACGTTATTCCCTGAGTCTACTGACACCCAGTAATGGGATGACCTTCAGTAAAGGCTACTTACAAATAAGCAGATCCAGAGTTTGACAAGAAAGTGATCCTAATCATACAGTCATTCTTCCCTCGGTGCAGCCGCGCAATAACCTGAGGAAAAAATGCCCGTAAACATTTTTCATTACCGTCTGCGTCATTCCTGTAACCCAAAAGCAGTGTACCGGAGAGGCGAGTGGAGTCATACTCCATCGAATTAACTTATAACAGGAAATCGTCCTCCGTAAAACTAGTGATACTGGCACCCCACCTGAGCTTCCCAAAGGCCACTGACGCCAAAAATGGTCACGCCATGCCGAACAACAACGGCCCTCACCCGAATAAAACAAAAACTGAACTCGGCACAGCGGAACAGTGAAGATTGGTGTAGGGGCTGAATAAAAATGGAATATACCTTCGCAGCAGCCTCTCCCTACTTTATTTCATAGCTATAGTTTCCCGCTGACAAGACTTAATCCACTCGTATGTACTGAACTCTATCCCCATTGTTTTCACACGGATTTCCGATACGACTTCAGCTTTCCCTTTACTATTAACATGCTATCTTCGCTAAACAACTAGATATATACTTGTTGAAATACGGGA